GGTTTTTCGGAGGATGTTTGGCGCCCCCCGGCGGACGAGCGGAAACGTGACCCGAAATCCTCAAAATTCACGTGGGAAAAAAAAGGGATTTTTAACGCGGGATTCGGGAGGGTCCATACGGCCCCTATAGGGACTGGGTCCGACCAGTCCCTATAGCCCCGGGGGGGGGTCCATATGGTCTCTATAGGGACTGGGGAGGGTCCATACGGCCCCTATAGGGAAGGGAGGGGACGGGAGAGGGAGGGGAGCCTGACCAGTCCCTATAGCCCTGGGGGGTCCATATTGTCTTTATAGGGACTGGGGAGGGTCCATATGGCCCCTATAGGGACGGGAGGGGAGTCCAACCAGTCTCTATAGCACTGGGGGGCCCATACGGTCTCTATAGGGACTGGGGGGTAGGGAAGGGTCCATATGGGTCCTATAGGGTCTGGGGGGGGAGTGGAACGTGTTCACACACCCTCTATAGGGACTGGGGGGGTAGGGGGAGGGCACGTGGTTCCTATAGAGCCCAGGGGGGGCCCATATGGCCCCCATATGGCCTCTATAAAGCCCAGGGGGAGGGTTATGGCTCCTATAGGGACCTGGGGGTCCATATGGTCCCTATAGAGCCCAGGGGGAGGGGTTATGGCTTCTATAGGGACCTGGGGGTCCATATGGTCCCTATAGGGCCCGGGGGGAGGGGTTATGGCTCCTATAGGGACCTGGGGGTCCATATGGTCCCTATAGGGCCGGGGGGGGTCGGTCGGTGCCATCAGGTGCCCTTGTCCTTGTCGGGAGACCTGCAAGAGAGAGAGACCCCGGGGCTGAGCACGGGGGGTCCCCTATGGAGCCTATAGGGCCTGGGGGGGTCTTTATGGATCCTATAGGGCCTGGGGGGGTCCCCTATGGAGCCTATAGGGCCTGGGGNCTTTATGGATCCTATAGGGCCTGAAGGGGTCCCTATATAGCCCTGTAGCACCCTGGGAGGGTCCCTATGGATCCTAAAGGGCTTTGGGGGGTTCCCCAATACCCCCTGGGGGGGGGGCGTCCCTATAGTTCCTATATGGCCCTGGGGAGGTCCTGATGGATCCTATATGGCCTAGGACCCCCTACATGCCCTTTGGGGTCTTTCTATACCCCCTGTGGGGTCCCTCTGGAGCCTATATGGCCCTGGGGCAGTCCCCTATAGATTCTACGTGGCCTGTGGTTCGGGGGGTGTCCCTATGGATTCTATACAGCCCTGGGGGGGTCCCTATGGGTTCCATAAGGTCCTGGAGGATCCCTATGAATTCTATACTGCCCTGGCGGTGTTTCTATGGCCCTGGGGGGTCCCTATAGATTCTAAATGGCCCTAGGGGGTTCCTATGGATTCTATATGGCCCCGGGGGTGTTTCTATGGCCCTGGGGGGTCCCTATGGATTCTATATAGCCCTGGGGGGTCTCTATGGATTCCATATGGCCCTGGGGGGTCTCTATGGATTCTATACAGCCCGGGGGGGGTCCCTATGGGTTCCATAAGGCCCTGGGGGGTCCCTATGGAGTCTATACTGCCCTGGGGGTGTTTCTATGGCCCTGGGGATCCCTATGGATTCTATACAGCCCTGGGGGGGCCCTATGGGTTCCATAAGGCCCTGGAGGGGTCTCTATGGATTCTATATGGCCCTGGGGGTGTTTCTATGGCCCTGGGGGGTCCCTATGGGTTCCATAAGGTCCTGGAGGATCCCTATGGATTCTATACTGCCCTGGGGGTGTTTCTATGGCCCTGGGGGTCCCTATGGATTCTATACAGCCCTGGGGGTCCCTATGGGTTCCATAAGGCCCTGAGGGGTCCCTATGGAGTCTATACTGCCCTGGCGGTGTTTCTATGGCCCTGGGGGGTCCCTATGGATTCTATACAGCCCTGGGGGGTCCCTATGGGTTCCATAAGGTCCTGGGGGGTCCCTATGGATTCTATACAGCCCTGGNCCTGGGGGGGGTCTTTATGGATCCTATAGGGCCTGGGGGGGGTCTTTATGGATCCTATAAGGCCTGGGGGGGTCCCTATATAGCCCTGTGGGGTTCCTGTGCCACCCTGGGAGGGTCCCTATGGATCCTAAAGGGCCTTGGGGGGTTCCCCAATACCCCCTGGGGGGGGTCCCTCTAGTTCCTGTATGGCCCTGGGGAGGTCCTGATGGATCCCATACGGCCTGGGGGGGGTCCTCAGGGGCTCCTACTGGAGGGGACCCCTTTATGCCCTTTGGGGTCTCCCTCTACCCCCTGTGGGGTCCCTATGGATTCTATATGGCCCTGGGGCAGCCCCCTATGGATTCTGGGTTGGGGGTTGTCCCTATGGATTCTATATGGCCCTGGGGAGTGTTCCTGTGGATCCTCTATGGCCCGGGGAGGGTCTGTGGGGGTATCCCCTATAGATCCTATATGGCCCCGGGAGGGTCCCTCATGGGTTCTATATGGCCTGGGGGGACATGGGGGGGTGTCCCTTTGAATTCTATATGGTCCCTATAGATTCTATACAGCCCAGGGGGTCTCTCTGTGGCCCGGAGGGGGGTCCCCGATGGATTCTCTGAGCCCCCAGGGGGTCTCTCTTATATGGCCCTAGAGGTCCCTATGGGTTCCATAGGGCCCTGAGGGATCCCTATGGATTCTATACAGCCCTGGGGGGTCCCTATGGGTTCCCTAAGGTCCTGGGGGGGTCCCTATTGATTCTATATGGCCCCAGGGGTGTTCCTATGGCCCTGGGGGGTCCCTATTGATTCTATACAGCCCTGGGGGGTCCCTATGGGTTCCATAAGGCCCTGGAGGTGTTTCTATGGCCCTGAGGGGTCCCTATAGGTTCCATACAGCCCGGGGGCGTTCCTATGGGTTCCATAAGGTCCTGGGGGGTCCCTATTGATTCTATATGGCCCCAGGGGTGTTCCTATGGCCCTGGGGGTGTTTCTATGGCCCTAGGGGTCCCTATAGGTTCCATAAGGCCCTGGGGGGTCCCTATGGATTCTATATGGCCCTGGGGGTCCCTATGGGTTCCATACAGCCCTGGGGGGTTCCCATGGGTTCCATAAGGCCCTGAGGGGTCCCTATGAATTCTATACGGCCCTGGGGGTGTTTCCATGGCCCTGGGGGTCCCTATGGATTCTATACAGCCCTGGGGGGTCCCTATGGGTTCCATAAGGCCCTGGGGGGTCTCTCTGGATTCTATATGGCCCTGGGGGTGTTTCTATGGCCCCGAGGGTCCCTATGGGTCCTGTAGGGCCCCGGGGGTCCCCCGTAGGTGTCAGGGGGTGTTAGTGTGTTAGTGCCCCTCCCCCCGAAGGCGCCGTTAACCAAATCCTCCTTTATTAGCCCCGAAATCGCCGTTAATTAAAAACGCGCCGGCCCCTCCCCCCCTATAAAATCTGTACATCGGCCCCGCCCCCCGCGGGGAGGGGGAGGGGCCGGGGGGGAGGGGAGGGGAGGGGGGGAGGGGATGCCCCAGGAAGGGTCCGGGACCCCCAGGAAGCTCCTTCATTAAACTCACTGACCTCGTTAACCTCATTAACCGCAATCCCAACTCATTAACCTCGTTAACCTCATTAACCCCAACCCATCGACCTTGTTAACCTCATTAACCTCATTAACAGCAACCCCACTGACCTCATTAACCTCATTAACCTCATTAACACCAACCCCACTGACCTCATTAACCTCATTAACACCAACCCCATTGACCTCATTAACCTCATCAACCTGGCTAAACCCATTAACCCACTGACCTTTTTGACCTCATTAACCCACTGACCTCATTAACCCCACTGAGCTCGGTAACCTCATTAACCCACTGACCTCATCAACCCATTGACCCCGTTAGTGCCATGAACCTCATTAACCCCATTAACCCCCTGACTTCATTAAAATCATTAACCCATTGACCTCATTAAGGTCATTAAGCTCATTAACCCATTGATCTTGTTAATCCCATGGGCCCCATTAACCTCATTAACCTCAGTGACCTCATTAAGCTCATTAAACTCCACCCCAGGGTCCCCCATCACCCAATGAACCTTAATGAGCCCCAAAACCTGGGTCCCACTAATTAACAACCCTTAATAAGCCCCCACAGCCTAACGAACCCCAAAACTTGGGTCCCACTAATTAACAACCCTTAATAAGCCC